CCAGAATACATTGGATCATGAACATGCAGAGAAATACGGAGACTTCCCATAATGCTTTGCAATGGGCGACATCAGTGAGACTGTACAGTTTGCCAGTCAGTGAAACACATTTGTAACTATTCCATATGGATATTTTCGCCCATACCTTTTCATAAATTGCTGACTGATAACTTTAATTAAAAATGCCTTTACTCCAAAACATTCTCTTTCTGTCTTCCATCTCTCCATATCTTTCCATCTTTTCTCCGTCTGAAATTAAGAATTAACAATTTTTGATAAACTGGAGAGGTAAGACAAACTGTTGGAACTGCTGGCAGAGAAATATATGCTCTACAGTTTTACAGCTGGTCCCAAAGTTAACAGAGCTACACATGTACATTACACATCTGATCTTATTTTGGATATGTTTACATACACTGACAGTTTACACATGCACAGATGGACATATAAAACACAGTGTAAGAAGAATTAACATGCTGCATACACACATGTCTGACAGATGAATACAGTGGTGACGTGCACTGAACTACTGACGTCAGCTACTTAACAATTACTTGACTAAAGTGCTACATTAGTTGAATACGTGAACTGAACACGGTGTAATTTTGCCAGCTGAGCTGAGTGCTACTCAAAGTGTAACAGTTCGAAATAGATGAAGCTCGGCGGTCTTTTGAATTGCGCATGCAGTTCTAGCACCTTTACATCACGGTGACTGTAGGTGATAAAACAATTAGCTGCTTCTCTGCAGTTGCTGTCAGTATTACTTGAGGTTTTCTGGCTACATCTGTCTGATGCTCCTGTAAGTTTCAAAGCATCTCGAAAACTACAAAGGAAGGGGCGTGCAGTGCTGGGGGGTAAGACTCCCATACACCTTTACAGACTCCAATTTATATGCACCAATGTACCCTTTACTGGCAACAAAATCAGCAACAGAACAAGTGACTAAAAATCTGAAATTTTAATGAGGGGGCACATTCTTCCTGGAGGTAAATTGGCCTGACACCCCAGTCTAAAAGACACTGGCGTAATTCTGACCTTAAAGACAGACTGACAGATACAGTTACACTCTCATGTGTACATATACTCACACAAGTACATAATCCCATTATGTCTGAATTTGCCCTTGGATGGCCAAGCAAAGAGCCAGGAGGCCTATACAATTTTAGCTTTTTGTCCCATTAGTGAATGATAAATTTAGTAGTGACATGTTGTTCAATTAATATTCTAACAGATTTGGATTGAATTTATCCCTTTTTGAGTTCTGTTTTTAAATGTTGTGGACACATTTTCCAGATTACATTCTCACTACAAATCATTTCTATGTTACTTTTGGGATAACTGACATACACAATCTGTCCTTCTCACCAAAAAAAAACTTGCTCTTGTCACAATAAAGGAATCGATTGACAAAAAGCATCAAGCCATTTATTTCAGGTCACCGTTCCCCCTCCCCCTCCTGACCCGCGAGGAACATTATGGGAAATCTCCGTATCTAACCCAGTACCCAGAGTGGGTGCATCCACTGTGCCTGTGCGTGTGTGCGTGTGCGTGTGCATGCCCGTGTGTGTGCTTGGTGGCGTGCGTGTGGACTTCCTGTCGTTGCTCAGTCCGTGCGTGTGGCCATGTTCGTTTTGATGCTGTGAGTCTCACCAAGTCCTGTGTAGCGTACATTCCGTGTGAGGTGAGTAGGCAATGCAGTAGCCTTCTTTTATATCAATGGTGTTTTTGTGTTGGTCTTTTAGTTTAAGCTCTTGTGTGCATCTTATTTTTTTTTTTTAACTAGTCAGACCGTATATTAACATTACTATGCATGTCATTGAGTGCATAGGCTGCCTTTGCTTTAGACAATGAAGTAATTAAAAGTGTGAGCCGTTGTGGCTTCCTTGTTGTTGTTTTTTTCTGTTTGCTGATTTAATGACACCAATAGCTAAAGTGAAATATGCGTCTTGACCATGATGTACTTGCAGGATTAAGCACTGGGGAGATGGCTATGGGTCTGTGCGTCCGTGTGCTCGTGTCTCTGTTTCTGTGTTTGTTACTAACCCCGCTGGCAGCGCGCTTATAACGCCGCGTGGACGTGCCCTGTGTGCTTCTGTGTCTAACACCTCGACGTTGCCTGTCCGCCGCGTGCGCCTCAAGCTGTATCAACGGCAGGTTCTGGGGTCTGGCCTCTCTGTAAAGATACGGTCCCCTCGGATACCTGCTGGTTCTCCTCGTCTGCCTTTAATACCGGGGTTCCCCAGTTTGCTGCTGGTCGAGAGCAGATGGGACAGCCAGACTGTCTGTCAGCCTATCAGTCAGTTTGCCATAGGGTTAGCTATCATATATTTCAGTCGTGATAGTTGTCAGCCATAAAGCCATACAGTCCATTTGTTACTCATAAGGTACAGTGCAAGCTGATAACTGGACAGTGTAATTTTTTCCTCACTTTTTTAGCTGTTAGGCTAGATTCAATCAAGTCACATTTTCCTTAGCAAGGTAGCCAGAGCGGATTTCGTTTGTCCGTCAGATGCAGGTGGAGAGCTGACGGTTTGCCGAGCACGTCGCTCTGTGGATGTTTAGTGGCCGCCCAGAGCACGGATACGCATGAACCCTTTCTGCTGCTAGCTGCTTGCAGTCTTGTAGGGCTGAGCATCTCCAGGGGATGGTTAAAACCCACAAGGTTCTGAATGAGAAGAGACGAGGTTTGCTGATCCAGTTAAACTCACGTTACTACCGCGACTTCAGCGGATTATATATATGATGTAAAAAATAACAACAGGCTCCATAATATGAAGCACACTGAACTATCAGTGTTGGCCTATTTTTCCACTAAACTACTTATTTGTCAGCTGAATGTGAAGCCACCTAAATATACATCCTCTGTCGCCTTATCGTCATTCCCAGTGTTTTCGTGATGATACAGTGGGCCCAACACTACTGGCTTGTAGTACATTGAAAACGGCATTAAGTGTTTTTAAAACATGCTGGCTCAACGCAGTTAAAGGTGTGAGTGCACGCACTGCACCCATCGCGCGGGAGCTGAAACGCCCCTTCTCAAACTTAGTAACGCAAGCGTCCCTAAGTAATGCGTGTGCCTGCATACATGTGACTTGTCTGCATACAGAGACATTTAATGCCGTGTTTCAACCTACTGCAATACTGTAGGTGGCCGGTAGGTGAATTAACCAAACTCTTTTCTTTCCCACTGCTTCAATACAGACTTCACTGAACTGGACTGGACATGACGGCTTGTACAATGAACTTGATTAGTAGTATAACAGAAATCACACTGGTATTGGCAATGACCTTACTCTACGCCAATGTAGGTAAGAATAGTTGACAAGACCAAATAAAAACTTTGGCTCATCCACTAATCATAAATGACAACCCAGCACTTTATAGATAATCTGTTAAGAGATGTCTATGAGTGTGGGGGTTTGATTCTCTGATTGGTGGTTTGGACATTGTTTTAATTTGAAGGCAATAGTTTTATATATATACCAACATCTCATTTGCCATGTAGTGTTAACGTTATATAACAATGTGCATCTTTGTTTCAGTGTAACTCTTTGTATGATCTCTTCTACATGCCTTAAATTGTATTATGATCGACAAGCACTATGTGTCATTTTCTAAGATGAATTTAGTGAGCTGTCCCATCGTTTTAAACATAAATACAAGTTTACTGTACCTTTGACATTGACGTATAGGCAAAATTCACATCTAGTCTTTCAGATTGAGTCTGTTGGGCATTGTAATTAATGCAAAGAATCAGGTAATTGGTGTTCATTATGCTGCAGGGAATAGCGGCTTATACTATGATTCTCTGCTGCTACCTGTAAGATACAAGGTGAACTGTGGGCCTTAGTATCCTCTCCAGCTGGGATAGGAAATCTACTCCCAAAGCTTTTTATGGAAAGGAATGCCACACCGGCCCAGGAATAATTACTTCACGGCACGTCTCGGCCCACTGATTGCGCGCAGACAATGTGATAACGCACTAAACAGCACTCTGACAAAGACTTGACACCCTACACACTACTGGACTGTTGTGACTAATGTACATTCATCGCTGCTCACACAGTAGTCCTGTGTTGTACAGAACCCTGAGAAGAGGGGAACACTGTCCTGTTTGTCACCCCAGATTTTTAATCCCACATGCCTTTTTCTTCCCCGTTCCCCCATTTCCCTCCGCCACTCTCTCTCCATCTCTGAATGTGGCTGCTCCCTGTCTTCGCGGCTCATTTCCGCTCTCTCCATCTCTGTGAAGGTGGCTCGCTCCCTGTCTTCGCGGCTCATTTCCGCTCTCTCTCCGTCTCTGTGAATGTGGCTGCTCCCTGTCTTTGCGGCTCATTTCCGCTCTCTCCATCTCTGTGAATGTGGCTCGCTCCCTGTCTTTGCGGCTCATTTCCGCTCTCTCCATCTCTGTGAATGTGGCTCGCTCCCTGTCTTCGTGGCTCATTTCCACTCTCTCTCTCCATCTCTGTGAATGTGACTCGTTCCCTGTATTTGCGGCTCATTTCCGCTCTCTCTCCGTCTCTGTGAATGTGGCTCGCTCCCTGTCTTCGTAGTTAATTTCCGCTCTCTCTCCATCTCTGTGAATGTGGCTCGTTCCCTGTCTTTGCGGCTCATTTCCGCTCTCTCTCTCCATCTCTGTGAATGCGGCTCGCTCCCTGTCTCCGTGGCTCATTTCCTCTTTCTCTCCATCTCCTGGCTCCTTCCCATTTACTCGCCACCTGTCTGCCTTTCCCTTCCATCCGAACACATTCTTGATGCATCACACGCCCCTTCACCTGTGCATTACCTGCCCCCTCCATACCTCATCCACCCCTCTGTTCATCCCTTCACGGTCCTCCCGAAATCTCACTCCTTCTTGACTCCTATGACTTCCTCTCTCCCTTCCTTCCCATGCCCAACACCCCTTGCTCTGATTGCCCCGCCTCTTCCCCCACCCGCACCCTACCCCGCCCCTTTCCCCTCCCCTGTGTCCCGCCTCCCTTCCCTCTCTCTCTTACTAGGAAGAGCAGTATTCCTCCCTGGGTTCTGCAGACCCCAGTGTGAATGCCGGAGGAGGAGGAACGACCATCGCTCCCGGCTCTGGAGTCTCTTCCTCGGGCGTCTCCTCCACCAGCTCCCCCTGGAATGGAGTCCTTCCCCCTCCCCTGCCTCCCCCTCCCCTCCCACCTCCTCGTGTGCACCTCAACCAGAATGGAGAGCTCCGTGGCAACCCAATGCCCTTCTCGGTGCCTGCCCAAATGGCAGGCGGGAGCACGGCTCCAGCTACGTCAAGCCTGGGTCTGGCCGGAGGGGAAGCAGAGCAATGACAGCCAGCAGCAAATTAGGGACAGAGGGCGCAAACGATAGCAACTCTCTCTGCCCCCTCATATATTTTCTTCCTCTTATTTTTGCTTGGAGGTAGAAAATATTGCACACTTTCCCCTCCCATTGTCCCAGAGAGAAAGAGAGAGAGAGAGAAAGAGAAAAGGGGATAGATATCTAAGGGGGAGTCACACCGAACACACTGCACACATGCAGAGGAAAAGGGCTTTCAGCTTAACCTGAGCTCAACAGCTCGCGTTTTCATCACGGCCAAAATCAACTCGGGTCAGTGTGCTGTAGGGCAGCTGTAATGCTCTCCTCTTCGGAGCCTCTTAGATATTATGAGATCCTTTTATGAGCTAATTATGATGATTAGATGAGCTGTATTGAGAAAATGGCATAAAACAGTGTTTCATTTCCCACGACCGTTCTGCTCTAAATGTTTCGTCATGTATGGTTCATAATCCTAAAGTTCTGTATTTTTTATTTTCATAGAATTTCAAGAATCACCAGTATAAGTTATACTAACAAGAGAAGTTACGTTTTAAATAGTTTCCTAAAGATGCTCATTGCATGTTATCCCATAATTCACTGGGTACAGAAGGGACACTCATTTCCTATCCTAAAAATTGCCAGCTGTTATTCTATTGGTTGGCAAATAGCACCTGAATTAGTCATACTACAAAGCAGCTTGTCCACAGCTTAAAAGTGCCACTTTTAATTTCAGCAAACATGCTAACATTAGATGCCAAAACCAACGATTCCATGTTGCACAGAATTTTGCACCAGACAAAATGCATTGCAGTGTGATTCAGGACCGTGGTAGCATGGTCTGACTTTCTCAGTGCCTTTAATATCAGGAGTTTTAAGAAGTTCACCTTTTGAAAAGGATTTTGAAAAGTTTTGCTGGTGGAACCAGTAGGAGGTTTATATTGTAAAATAAATAGATATATAATAGTTACGTGTAAAGCTTAGCAGACTTTAGGGTCTTGGTGACAGAGCACAAGAAACACACTCAGAAATCTAATAATGTGCAGAAAAATTAAAAGTAGCAATTAATGGCTGGACATTACTCAACTGGACTGGACATATGCAAAGTTTTCTCTTCTCAATCTCAGAACCAATATGTGATAAACAGGTGCTTCAAAAATGCAGTGCCATTTCCAAGTAATAATTTCATTGTACAGCATTGTACGTGTGTCATATTGGTCACGTGGATATGCTTTACTTATAAGGCTTTTAGGTGCTTTAACTGTTGTCTATATGTGCGTGTATGTATGTGTGAGTGTGCACGCTCGTCACCAACCCAAACCTTAAAAGGTACCACTACCCAACGAACTGAGTGCGTGCAGATTTAATGATTGTGTAAAGCTGGTGACCAGAAAACAATCAGGTACTACACTCTTTTTAATGTGTGACAATGAGACGGCCTCACAGACCACAGGGGTCCTGTCCCGTGCCAGCGTTCACAGCTGGGACCCCAGAAGGGCCGGGCCTGTCAGACCATTTTGTGTGGCTACTCCGGAGCCTTCAGAAGTGGTGTCCGACAGACTAAGTGGGATAGTTTGAAATTAACTGGAATGGCTGCTATGACTTTTGACAGCTGTCAGCTGACCTCACACCTGAGAAGCATGTTAAAAACAGAGGAACCTAAGATTGTGGATGTCCTCGAGACGAGATGCTACGATTCACTGAAGACTCTGCACTTGTTTCGACTTTGTTTTTTTTTCTTAAAACTTAGGGCAGATTTAGTCAGTAGTCACAACGCCCTGTAGCTTCTTGTGAGACTTTTAGCATACATACAGTATAATTAGATTGTTTTCACTTGGTGGGCATTTCAGAGGACATTTTGTCCCACCAACTAGGCATCTGTATTATAAGGCAGAGATGTTTCACATGGCTGAAGGGCCTTAAGAGTGATATCAAAAAAGCCTTCTGACATCATGCTGGCCTTACCCTGTGTCCTCCCCTATTAAGTTCATGTCTAAGTGTTGTATCTCACTGTTTCTGTTGAAATACACAGAACAATTCATTCATGCAAATGTGGATGGCACAGCTGTTGCAAGCCACGAGCAAAATTGTATATCCTGGAGGGAAAAAAAACGTTATCAGTTTTTTCTTACATCCTGGGAGAGTTGCTCCTTTTAAAAATACTTTTGATTGAAGGGTTGTCATAAACAACTGGGCAATTTGCTACATTGACATTCTAACGCATGATAAGTTAATTGCACGTGTATTACAAATATCATTCTGAGATGCCCTACAGACCATTAAAATCATAGCTATTTCAATCATGAGAAAACAAACTTGAGAATGTAGAATGTTTGACAATACAGTGGAAGACTCCACATGCTTTATATGTATCTGTAGCCATCAAAGAACATTTAAAAAGGAAAAGGCACAGTATGAGAAGTACTTTGATGACATTTCAAATCTTTATAGAATGCAAACAGATGCAATCATTGTAAGTGACTTCAGTGACTTGCATCACAAACAGTGTCATGTGACAGTAAACTGTGTGCTCTCTGTAGCTTTCGGATTTGACTGATCCATACATTCCTCACATCTGAACACATATCTGTGCATTTCCCATTCTAAACAGCGCAGAACATAAATGAAACCCTTGGTTCTACTTATCGTAGCTCTTACAGGATGCATGTATCCTGTCCAGTTGTGACGGTCAAGCTTCTGCAGTAAAAGGCTTTTCAAAGTGCAATTTAACTATGTTCTCAAATATCTTGTGAGCTCCTTTACTGTCAATACTGGTAGACTTGCAGGACATCTGGGATGCAATTTCTTGTGCCTGGTTATTGATGCAGCCCTGCTCTGTGTGAAGGTTATTTGTTTTTATATTACAACGTTCTATTGGCACAAGTTGACAGGAAAGTTTTGTTTCTTTAATCAAAGTTCGATCGGAGAAAAGCCAGCCTAACTCTGTGCATCTCGGCAGTTTCCAGCTGCGTACTGTGTGTTAGACTGTTCCGCGTACCGAGAGCAGGCTGGGGACGAGCGTCAAGTCCCCTAGTCAGAAAATGAAACTGGGTTATTAAGTTTTCCAGGTTGGCAGCATTCAGGGCTGGCATTCCTAGTTGGATTGAAACCCCCACCAAATAAGAACATGAGCACTGCTATAAAGCACAAGAAGGGACACATTATTAGCTTATCTTTTCCTCATGTGCTAGTAAAAACTTAAATATTGGCTATTATACAGAGATTCAGATTATCAAAAATATAGTCCACCAAGTTCTGCAGCCTGATAAAATACAATCTATTATTATATTATTTATTTAGCTGAGATTTTCATTTTAAGTGACTTTCTCCATTGAATATGAATGTGCAAATTATGTATTGCTACTATGTTTAACCATTATGATTCATAGATGCATGGGTGTACAGGGTTAATGATTAAATGTGCATTGCTATGAATATACCTCAGACAAACAGAACTGAGAGACTCAGGTAAACAATCAGATGCCTCAGAGCTGTACCCAAGCTGACTAAAACATTAGTCCACACTGAACACTTACCGAAAGATTGCTAATAGGGCAGTGGGTCCAGCTGTCACCAGTAGCAAAGGTTAGACACTACTTCATCGGACACCCCCCCCTCCTTCTCTCTGTCTCCCTTTTTTTTTTTCCTCCAGCCATTCACACAGCGTCATGGGGGCCAATCTGGAACATAATTGGCTGATGCAGTACGGGCAGACCTGCGAATGGCCTGGCCCTGACTCAGAAGCCCTCCCTCGGGATCTGATTAGCTGAGAAAGGGGGAATGCAGGGAAAGGGACGAGCACAGCTCTGGCCCCTTTCACAAAACAGATGCTCCAGAGTCAATGAATACATTAACACGAGCGGTACCATTGGAGGATCCTAAAGAATGGACTGTCCCTTCCTGACATTCGCTGTCTCTAATTGGCTGATTGGACTTTTTTTTTGTACATTCACACCTACTGTTGGATATTAAGTTACTTAAAAGACAAATAGCAATTCTCCACTGAAATGATGCAATGGCTGTTGTACTGTAGCATGTGAAGAACAGCTTCTCTGATTGGCAGTGTGCTGAATTTGTTTTGTGTTCAATTTTGATGGAAGAAACATATGCGAAGAAACTTAACCAAGGGAGAGAGAGATAAGGGTAAGATACTCTTTGAAGGTACTTCTATTCCTTTGCAGTTTATGCTCCTGTTCTCAGATCCTCTATGATTTGTGTTCTTTTTTATCACTCTTTCCACTTCATGTTTCATGCTGTATATGTGTTACACACCACACCTTCACTCTGCTATCCCCACTCTTTCACTCTTCATTCACACTTCCTGGCACATTCCGTTTCTTGCGGATCTCCATGTTTGCTTTCCACTTTTACACGTCCGAGCAGAACCAGCCCACTTGCTCACCCTCATCTTTTTATGTAAGCCATTTTAGTCTCTGCTCTCTATCTCTCTCTGTCTTTGACTGGGCAGAAACAGACTCGATATACAATGCCTCAATAAAACAGAAAGTGGCATGTAGTATGTGTGGCTTTGGTGAAACTGTGGAAGCTGGAAAATGGACAGACGAGTGTGTCACTTTCTGTTATCTTGATTATACATCAGCCTATCAGAGCACTATTTATTCATCTGGACTCTTTCTGATTCATATCTATAATTTTCTTTGATAATGTTAAGGACCTCGAATGAGTTAACAGAAGTCTGGAAACAACTTTTTAATCAACGGACTTCTTTTGTGACAATCCTATTGGACTTTTTTTGTGGAAGTACTCATTCCTGGAAATCAAAATGGAACAAAACTGTTGTTCCTCATTCTCCCCCCCCCCCCCCCCCCCCCCCCAACTCCATCCCTGCCCCCAGCAACGGCTTGGACGTTGCCTTGACCTCTCCCCCCTTCCCTCTGTCACCTCGGGGCAGTAACGCCTGTCAGAGGTAGATAGGTCGGATTTCTGGACAATCTCCGTGGAGCTCTTCATTCACAAAACGTCAGAGACACTACACGGATGACGCTGACTCTTACTTTTTCCCCTCGGTGCCCCGTGTGTCATTTATACAAATTCTCAGTGATGTACGCGTGACCAGGCAGCTAGCTAGTCGACCAGTTCATCCATGAAGTGGCGAAACAGAAGCCTTGGGCCCAACTTTCTGTTCCGCTTCATGTTCGAACCCCAAGCCTGGACTGAGATGACGTGCTTGACACCCGAGTTGAATATTCTTCTTTTCCATCATGAGAAAAAAAGAATATCGAGAGAGATCAGAGGTCTATTCTGTGTAGTGGGTGAATGTCAGTGTGTGCGTGTATGTGTATATAAGTGTGTGTACAGTCTGTGTATATACTGGATGTGTGTGTACATATGGTATGTCTATGTATATAGATGGTTTGTGTGCACACATTCCGTGTAAGGGTGTGTATGCTGGGGTGTGTGTGTTTCTTTTCTCTTTCTCCCTCTCTCTCTCCCTCCATCTCTACACGGCAGGGACGCTGTGGAGATTGAGAGGCTCAGAGAGACATGAGGACAGGTGTCCTGGAAGTGTTTCCCGTATAGATGCTGATCACACAAAGCAAGGTTGAACTCTGTCTTTCATTCATGCATACTGTCCGGACCACACACAACTGTTACGTCAGTCTCTCCCTCTTACACCCTTTTTCCCCACCGATTAAGGCATTTTGAAGTGATTTTGGTGTGACCTAGCAATGTTTGTATATATAGAATATAACAATATTATCCCATCACCTTCATCTTCTATCTATGATTAATTCCTAGTACTCTTATGATTCTTCCTGGTTTGTTTACCTGGTTTCATTTGATGCTTATGAATCATGTATTTGCTGAGGTTGTGCTTCACATTTATTTAACTTTATGAATAGAGATAGCCCTTTCTCCTGAGCCTGTACCCTCCCCAAACTCTATCCTCCATATTGCCGCTTCTCTTCTCATTGGTCATGCTAAGCGACAACTACACTTATGCTAATCTACATGTACAGGTCCCTGTAAATCCTGCTTCCACATCCTCCTCAGTCCTGTCCGAGCCCCTAGACAAGCCATATTCACCCCAACCCTTCTCTTTATTTCTTGAATGGACAGATAAGTTGGGACATTGTATATACCGACAGAAAGAGTGAATATTGATGTGTGCTTCACTACTGTACATGGATTTGTTATGAATATGGATATTCTGATTATAATAATATCTATTGTTACTCTAATTTTATTGAATAATTTATTTGATGCCGTAAATGACAAATTCTTCATTTTTTCCCTTTTTTTGAATAAGCAGGAATTTATATTTTTCGGGTGGACAAATCCTGGAGATATAAATAAATAAATACATAGATTAATAAATACGTAAATAAACAAATAATTAAATTCCTAACTGCAAATCTGATTTTAATGTTTTTATTAGCTGTTTGGGCAACCCTAGAGATGTCGAGATGTTCTTGGAACATCAGGGAGAAACAACCGACAATAATAATGGAATAAAATGGTGTCTTGCGCTGTTTGTTACATTCTGCACTCTGGTGATGATGTCAGGATTCGCACGGCATGCAAACAGGATGGTGGGCTGGTGAATCTCAGTGCAGTGCACATAGAGGGGTTTGCAGGGAGGAAGCAGCTCGCCCATTGCATCATGGCTGAAATTACTTCCTTCGCCAAATTTACACACTTACTTACAAATTTGAGGTCCTTCAGCAGATTTTATGCTATATTTATTTCATGCTATATCTATTTCCCATGAATGCAGTAAACACTGAGCTGTTTTTTGAGGGTGGACGCATCAGTGTTGCTGCCTCTTATGAGCACAGCCTCCTGAAAGCTTGAAGATCTATGTGGTCTCCTGCTCTCAGGATTGGTGTTCCTTGTGATGTTGGGCCTAGACTAAGCCTCGACAATCGCTCACTGGGCCTTTCCCAGTGTGGACAGGTGTCAGCCATCAGGAAAAAAGCACAACTCTCTTGGCAGGGGAGCCTGCAGAAGAAACTGGAAACCAGTTGAAGGAACTGCAGTTTCAGTTCCCTGCCTCCATTTGCGAATGCCTTGGGGGGGGGGGAGGGGGAGAGAGGGGATGCCAAGATTTTCCTCAGTCTATTAAGTCAGTCGACTGAAACAGGACTCCCCAGCTTTTAAAGATGTACTGCCAGCATTCTAGTTAGCACCTACAGGCAGCTGTGTTATAGAGACTACCTTACAGTGAAAACCAGCATACTGTAAGGAGGAGGCACTGGTTTAGATTTGAAGTACTAGGATGTCACCATGGCATCAGATCAAATGCTACTGGGTGTAAGAAATAAAACTGGACTGGGGATCTGGCCAAGCTGGGGGGAAAATGATGAAGAGTGATCTAAAATATATGTCAGAAGCATGCTCCAAATCTACAACATAATAATGGTGCCACAGAGAAGCAGGCAGCCATGTTGATTGTTCTGTTCAGTAGTCTGAAGCTGAACTGAAGAAGCCCTTGTTATATTTTTCTAAGATGTGTTCATGAGTGTATTTTCTTAAGATTCACTTCAGCAAACAGGCCTCACATCTGCCTATTAATATGTCTGACCCTTGACTGTCACAGAAATCACATTAAAATTTTGGCAATTCAAATGAGTGTTTATGTAGAATATACTGCTAGTTAAAGTAATTCATCTGTATTCATGGATACAAAGAATATACACATCAGCTTTTCATATATCTAGAGTGATAAAGTACAACAGTGCCCTCTAATGGTAACTTTAAAATATGTCAACATTCCGCATTTAGCCCAGGACCAGCTCTAATGTTCATGAAGTGAAATAAGATCAAAGTTCATACTCGTGGCATATTTTTGTTTTTTGTTTTAGATTTGATTATAAGATTGTATTTTAAAAATCACAGATAAGGAAATAATTGGTTTCTTCTGACTTCACATGACTGACCAGATTTGACATAATGCATCCATCCATCTTCCAATCGCTTATCCTGATCAGAGTTGTGGGGGGGCCTGGAGCCTATCCCAGGCAGCACTGGACACGCAGCAGGGGACGACCGGAACAGGATGCCAGGCAATCACAGAATGGGCGACTTAGACACCAGTTTACCTACCAGCATGCTTTTGTACAGTTTGGGGAAACTGGACCTCCTTGGAATGGGTTCCATACTCACTGCGATTCTGTACTGGATAAGCAGTTATAGAAGATTCAAAGAGGGATGGAATGATTATTACATTAGTTAGTTTATATGCATAATAAATAAAAATAACTTTTCACTTAAAATGAAATGCCATATATTTCTATACCTGAAATCATTTTTTTTAATTGACTGAAATATAAGATGTGACTGAGGCATTCTCAGACCTGAGCTTCCTTCCATTTGGTTTGTGCGATTCCATCCTGCGCATAAAATGGATCCTTGGAAGGCCATCGCCGATGCAGCTGGATTCCCGCGGGTCTGCCGGTTTTAACGTTGCATGCCAGCGCCAATCTTGTCTGAAGCACCTTTTGTGATAGAGGGCCTTTTATTTGCATGCATATTGCTGGACATACCGTAATGCTGACATAGACAACTAATTGCAGCATTGCAGCAGTTCCTTATACAGTGAAAAGCTCTGAGTCATACTGTACCTTCTGGAGCCCAGAAACACGCGAGCATACAGCATCTGCTCTAAGCAACAGACACACCTTCGTCAATTCATGAACTGAAAAATGTGGCCTGCTTTCGACAGATAATGAATTTAAAGTGTAGCACTTCATGGGGCACGAATACTTAGTAGTAACTCAGTTACTACTGAAGTACAAATCATGAACAAATATAGTCGCTACTTGAGATAAAAGATGCGTCACAATTCATTAATGACAAACAAACCTGAGATTAATATTATTATAACAATATAATATAATAATATATAATAGTATGTAACTAAGACTTAGTTTGTGGGTAATTCATAAATAAGTAATAGCATATATAATACTGTATATAAAAAATAGCATATATAGGATATATTATGTGTCCCATGAAGTAAAGTGTTACCAATTACAGATGTTTTATAACGTATTTTAAATCTTTTTCCTGAATATATTTATATTATCCTCTTTTTGAGGCAACTTTTCTATAAAAATATTTAATATATTAAGAAAATTCAGTCTTTAGACTAGGATTTTATATCCATGAGTGATTAATGAAGGGAAATTCTTTACTCTCTTTTGCACTGCATTATTGTTTTCATACTAGCATAATACTGACAATGGCGTGACAGACTTCTGTCCTGCTACAAAACGAAATACATTTGCATTTTCTTTCATACATTAGTGTTAAACGTGCACATATGAGTGGGCAGCTGGAGTTCTGGACATGTGTCTGGTCATCCTGTCAAATCACACTTTTATCCCCAACACTTCCTCTATGGTTTTGGTCAAATAACCAAAGTAAGCCTCCTCTCTCTCTTGACACTTTTTAGAGCATTACAGTTCAAAAATCCACAGGCCTCTGAATCACTGCCTCTAAATTAATCAGTGTGGCTTCTCTGCACTTTTGTGTTTCTGTTTACACTAAAGGGGTTGAGGTGGCAGATCAGCACTATATTCTCACTTTCCCTCGGGGGCTGGGGCTTTGAACCCCACTATGCAGTCCAAACACATGCATTTAGGCTAATTACTGTCTCAATATTGCCCATAGTGTGTGCTTGTGTGCACCTTGCTAAGGACTGGCATCCTGTCCAGGATGTACCCCAGCCATGTGCCCTATGCTGCCTGGGATGGGCTCCCGGTGCCCTTGTGACCCTGACCAGGATAAACGGTCAGAAGGTGGATCGGTGTGAGTGTATTCTGCAATGGGCAGGCATCTTATCAAGGCTGTTCCCCTGCTTGCT